AAATCAAATGGTAATCCCCTTTCGGCAAAGAATATGCATGTTGAGCTATACCCGAATCGTCGTAATCCGAACATTCAAATATTTAGACGATTAGATTGAAATTTGTGGGACTATGCTGCATTTTCCAGAAAGAAAACAAGGAAATGTGAGGTTACTGAAAGTGTTAAGAATCAAATAAATATTATGGGTAAGCAAATATTACCACATAAAAATCTACACAGTGAAAAATCTTTCATTTTTTCATTTAGGATTTAGGATTTCTTTACGAGAAATTGCCCACGAAATGGTTAAAATCCACCAGAACTATTTTGAAAAAAACAAATATAAATGCTACAGGATACGCAAAGTTGATCACTTCAATGGAAGGGATTACCGAAGGAGAGTTCGATTTGCGAAGTGGTTAAGACGTAGAAATAGGGAAGTTGGAAATATTTGTGAAAAATAATATGAATGGACGAATCAAAATTCACCAACAATGATTGCTTTAACAAAAATATCCATTTTAGGTGGAATAATACAAATGAACATTTACACAGGAAAACCAATTTCCAAAGAAGGTTCGGAATAAATTTTTGGTCGAGAACTTTGGAAACAAACATTCCTGGCCCTTTCTTTCACGATGATCATTTGCATAGTGAAATTCATCTTCATTTTCTATTCAATGAATTCGATGGCTACTCAGATGAATTGCAACTGAATATCCGCCATGAAATACAATATTTTCAACAGGACAGCACTCCTCACCATAATGCAGCAATAGTAAGGGAACATTTGTATGCAATATTTCCAAGAAAATGGATTGGAGACAATGGACCAATTAACTGGCCAGCTGGATCCCCAGATCTTACTCCTTTAGATTATTTGTCTGGGGATACATAAAGAATGAAGTTTTCTCAACACCAACTCAAACAAACAATACGATATGCATGTATTAGTATTACACCTATATATGCTAGAAAATTGAAAAAGAAATTGTCTTGACCGATAACTTACGTGCATTCAACAACGAGGTCGTCAGTTCGAGCATTTAATGTAGATTTCCATGTAGCCTTAATTTTCCGTATTGGTTTCATTTTTCCCAGAAGTTCATGATAAAATAAATTTGTTTTTCTGTTTGATTGTTGTCACTGATGACACGCTATAAAAATATCAAATGTCATACACCCTTGGATTGTGAATTTATCGCTTTACGATATCTCTAATGAAAAAGACAGGTCCGTATTGAAAAAAAATTCTTGGTGGCCATATCGACACGAAATGTTTTATCGAATATTTATCATTACATTGTCATAGTATACTTCGAATACAATGACATTTTATTCTTTAATTTTTTGATATTTTCCGAAATAACAATTCCAATCGAAAAAAGAGCATTTTTAGTTTTCCCGTATAACCTGAAAAGGGGCCGTAAATTTCCTTCGACCATTGTATTGTTCCTGATGACAGTTACCTTTTTCCCATTCAATCGTCTTCGTATCTATTATGGTTGGTTTAGAATATAGCAATGTTACCACATGATAAAATAAACGGCCTGTATATACCAATACCGTCTCACCGATTCATTTCATTGAAATATCCTACGCTCTAACGAAAATGCATGAAATAGGTTTATAAAATTGAATAATTCAATTTCTGGCAATAGAACGGGGTCACCAAAGTCCCGAGAGAACTCCAATTATATAGAAAACTGAGGAATCTTAATTCCGACTAATTGTAAGACGCCTAACAAGGGTATTCAGAATTTCAACAAGAAATGAAATTCAAATTTCATTTGTAATGCAAAATTGTGTTGCTAACGAGTGTACGTTTCGGATCTGAAGCGAGTTTGGATGAAAGTTTTGTATTTTGATTGCGGCTTTCGTCGTCTACTGAAGATTCCGTTTCAATGTTGATACGAAAAATGAACAGGGAGATAGTTTTCAATATTTTCATATGGTATGAATAACTATTATATTAGATTTCAGATATTCAGTTTATAGAACATAAATATCTGGAAGTAATGATGAAAAATCAATTTCAATTATTCAAAATACTTTCATGACAAGTATGGATGTATTTTTATTACCAATGTTTGTCTCAGAAATGCTCCTAATAACAAATTGGTACATTGATTTTTTACTAATAACTGTTTTGGAGTTTTATCTTTACACCAAACTTTTATTTTTAACACTTAGAGACATTTTTCAATCACCAAATGATCATCTTCAAGCGGTAGTTTAATTTTCTCTTGAAGTTGATCACTTGGTTATCGGAACACGTCGCGAGGAATTGAAAATAACGGTTTGGTGTTGGGATAAAATTTCAATAATATCAATTACAACACCAAAGATTCCAAACAGTGCATCACAAGTAATATCTGTTTTCAATGACTCACCATATCTATACTTAAAATTACAATAAAATAGTCACTCTCAGATATTCAATAACTGTTCAATAGCTCCGTCACGCTGGAACCCGCTTTGAAAAAATCTACATCTACATATGTTGGTTAGGATAGGTTATGTTATGTTAGTTTAATTGAGAAATAATTGATTTTATTTCATATATTTTTTATGTGTTTAATGGTAACTACAAACATCTAATTTCAGCTATGATCAACTCCATCGTTTATAGTTTGAAGACAATTGTTATTTTATGTTTTGAAGTCTTGTTATCGTAGTTTTTTTGCTATACTTCAAAACAATATAAGATAAATTGATATTTTGTTGTTACTACAATAAACTACAATCCATTTAGAACCTATTTCAGAACTTTTTGGTACATTATTACTCGTCCTTCGTAGTTAAAAAATATCAAAAGTGCTTTCTCAGTAACCGATAAGACTACAAAAAAAATGAACATTATTACCACATTCATTAGTATCGTTTGTAGGTGAAGTGGGCTAAAAAAAAGATATATTTTTTTCGAAGCGGATTCCAGCGTGACGTAATTGTGTCAGTTTTTTTTTTATTGATGCATATGATTTAAGTAGGACACGTTCTCTTACGGCAAAATCATTATGCCTACCTTTGGAGATTGTGGCTGATGCTACAAAAAACGCCGATTAGTTTCTGCTGACATATAACCAGTAATAAAAGTTATGAAAACGAAGTAAACTATACCGGGTGTCCCAGAGCTTTTAGGCCAGCAGATATCTCAGTTACCTGCAGAACAAAAATAAAAACAAAAATATGTATCATAGGAGAACACAAGCACTTCCATGCAGCATAGCAAAATCCACCCCCTGGTAAACAACCCCCAATAAACCAGCCCTAACTTTTGTTTTTCAAATGGCACGCCCATGTTTGTTTTGGTTCAACTTACAGTCTTTTTCATTTCTCGGTCAATGATGTATCATGGTAGGTATGGCCTAAAAGCTCTGGGACACCCGGTATAGTTATTAGTCATTGCATTTCTTGAAGTATGGAGTAAGTCATTAATTAGTGAATATGATTCGTGGAAAAGTAGATAGTGGTAACGATAAATATTCCTTAATTTTTGCAGTCAATGAGAAAAGAAATAAAACAGAAAACAATGCTATAACAACCAAACCCACCAGAAATCGAATCGAGAAAACCCAATTCCATGTTAGAACAATCGAACAAAAGCAAATGGAATCGAAACAAAATAACACGTGAAGTATTATGGTAATCGGCGATTCTTCAGAGAGAGGTAACTTAAACAGACCAGTTGATGCAACGTGAAGTATGAATTGAGGTGTTCATTTAGTGACAGGGAGACAAAAATTGAAACAAATTGAACGGTATCGAAGAACAAGTGAATAACCCGGATGATTAGTTTGATCGTATCTATAGTATGACCTATTATATAGGTAAGGTATGAATGAGAAACAAATCTGAACGTTTTTAAATCGTTATCATAAGTCAGGAATCGACCGCATATCAGCCTAGACCTACCCCTACGTTCTCGTGCATTGAATTTTCCAGAAAGGTGTCGAATCAAATATCCAAGAATTACAAGAGCTTTAGAGAAGAGACGTATAGAATGCGTCATGGTTAATTAGCATAACGAAATGAGCAACCAGAATATGTATACTCAGATGTTTCAGTGAAGAAGAAACATCAAGACGAGTTGGTGCTAGTATATGTCCATTACATGAATTCACGACCCGGGAAAAAAAGGGGTTTTCTTATCAAACTATAATGAACCTGAATATATTTTTGTTTTCAACTGAAGAAATAAACTATACAATTAGCATAAAAAAATAAGCAGGTTATCGATTCTCTACTAAAACCAAATGGTATGATGGTGTCGATACTCCTGATAGTTCTAGTAACAATCAAGATAATTCTGTTATCTTAATAAAAACACCTCGAAGTTCAACGCTTTCTTTTATTTTGGTTCATGGCAATATTATACGATTTTTTTTCTAATTCTTTTAATATTTTAAGTCAAAGAGTTATCAATAGAAAGGGGTTTTGTTGACCATAAATATCAAAATTACAAAAATATTGTTCCTTGTATCCCAATTATTGGAGTGTTTCAATGAGGTTCGAGCGAAAATGGGACCTGCTTGTATAAAATCATTACAACTGTATTGTGTACAAAACTCTGAAAATGGAGAATTGAAGAGATCACGACACCGTGGTTTTTTTTATTCTTATTTATATCTGCGTCAACCCAAAATACCCAATATCCATGATGAAATCGATGATGAATAGAGAAAAAGTGCAAAAGTGCCTCCTTTAGAGTCTATCACAATACTTTTTGTAACTATTTCCGAAAAATAATCACATCTACTGCAAAACAGGATTTTTCAATATCATTATTATAATTCAATGTACCACTACCGAATTGAAATAGTTATCAAACCTTATCTACTCACCGTCAAAATCGTTGGTTTTTTCATCAGATTGTCATTAACGCATTTTCAAATACGGTTTGTCTACTGATTCACCACATTCAAATCCTAATTTGAATCATCCAACACGATACGATATGATGGATGCTGGATAAATCACATTCGTGAATCAAAAACATAAGTCTAGTATTTCACTTACTTGCATATTACATATCTTGTACCGAACATGGTCCCCTCTGCAATTACCGGAAGTACAGGTTCTCAGCTGGTGTGATGCTCCACCGTCACAGGATCTGGAGCAAGGAGACCAGTCAGACCATGGTGACCATCCTCCTGAATCGGTGTTGACTTTTTGTAGTTGCAAAGATAACCCCTGAAAAAATACAACTTAGGTTAGTTCAATAAATACAAAACACAAAAGTCCTCAGTATTGTGACTCCCGTATATATCTGGGAGGTGGTGTATATTGAATATAAATGAAAAATTTGGTTTTGGTAGGAGTTATACATATATGCTATGAAGCCGTTTATCTAGATATTTTTGTATTTTAGAAAACTGTCATGCTAACGTAAATTTTTGTCTTATACGCTAGTCTCCTAGTTTCCCATGATTTCTATAGATATATTTGAGAAATATCCTTTTCTAGAAGGCAATTTGGCAACATTATCATGAATCATAATGAGTTTTATGACTTTGTTACCATATGATCACATCGCATTAACATATCACGTAAGAATTGAATATTTTGAATTTTGAATTTCTGAACATTATTGACTATTTCAGGAAAAACTAAATGAAATTTTATGTTTTCGAAATCTTGAGAATTGAATATTGCCAATTAGGTACATTATGTACATATGGTGAGTCAATAAAAAACAGAAAACATACTCTAACACTAATGAGACTCATTGGGAAAAGAACAGAAGACTACATTGAATTATCAATTATCAAAGATTCAAAATGGTTATTCTCAGATTTTAAAGATCGAAGTTGGCATTTTATTATACTGGATGATTCCAATATAGAAGAGTGATTTTTCGAATGTAGCTGTCCTGCCTTGTATGCAACGAGAAGGTGAATATTGTATTACTGTTATTGCTGAGAGAATTAGTCACTTAGAGAATGTATTGCCTATTGTGATTGTGATTTGTTCCTGTGTTGATTATGACTTTGATTTCTTGAACAAGATTGACGTCAATAATTTGGGCACAACTAAATAGTTTTGTACGTAGTTCAATAACTTACTCTTTGAATGAAATTTTTCTGTGGAGAAAACAATGTTTTTTCGGAAAGGCTATACATCTTAAAAAAACAGTGAAAATGAATAATTTACATAATTTATTCACCTGCTGTGTATTTTATAATATGGTGAAGGAGAGGGTCATGAAAAATTGTCTCAATATTTCTAGTATCTATCACTATTATTGCTAATACAAGTGAAATAACCTGAGAACAATCTCCGTTTTTCCATCAAAATCGCTTGGGAGGACAAATAAATCTGCGTGATAATCTTTTAAAAGACATACGCAACTTCGACTTCAATTAATGGCGAAGGCACGTATAACGTATTGAAATATAACGATAATAATATTGAAAAAGAATAAAAATATCAAAGATTTTTTCAGTATCGTTTACTCGAAAAAAACAAGGTACATCTAAGGTCAGTACAGGAATAATCACAATTACATTGAAATCTATAAAATATGTTCACTATTAATATATGCATATGTGTGTCATATTTTCTCCAAATTTGTCATCGTTATTCGATTTTTAGCTAAACTCGTATCACGATTTTCTAATTTTTTCATGTAGAAATATCTGAAAAAGCCTTTTTCTGTAAAACAGATCTTCAAAGCACTAGTGCAAGTTACTCAGTGTCATATTTAGGTATGATGACATTCACTTCTTCAGGACCAGAAGCTTTTCTGATATTGAATTATTTAAGTATCGCTGTTGCGAAAATAGTGAATGGCGAATTATTTTGCAAGAAACCTTTCCTACTACTACTGTTGCTGTTCAATCATCCGCTAGCACTATTGGCGAAATTGTTGGAATTTCAATTAAGCTATTCAGTCACCGACCAATCAGATCTAGAATTGTTGGGACTGGCAGATAATCCATTCCAAATTATTTGTTTTCATTCATGATACTGAATTATACCATTTGTGGAACGGTTCTACCATGGGACAGTAGACAGTTGGGTTGTCGTAGCTGGTTTCTTCCACTCATTCTATCGATCATCAGGTGAAACGGTGGTTAAAGCCGTGAGGCAGGACGATCGATTGTCACTGCCTTTCGTCTAATCCGCGCTGAAAGTCACACGTAAAACCTCGTTGATCCTTAGCTCTCACACGTTTCGATTTCTAAGGGTTGTTTTTCAAATGGAGGTGATAGCCAGTCAACGAAATAACAGATTCCGAACATATTTTAAACGGATTCATATAATTTTCACCATTTTTATCAGATAACCGTTCAGTGTATTCCCGATTATCTGTTTTTGTCGTTCTTCATTCACAATTAGTTTCTGATGTACATCTATTATGAGAATAAGCAAATCTGTTAGAGTTTTTGGCACTGAAATTTTTATGGCAGTATCGAGATTTCAGAAGCAATGGTTTGCTTCCAACTTCTTTTGAAGATGTTCATACCTGGATAATTCCAACCACTGGATGTACAAGTTGATCAATCATGAGAATAGATTGGAACGTTCAGAAAAAAAATCTGTGATGATCGTGACTGATCTGAATGTGATCTATTCGAAATTGAAAATTAGTTTCTGATCTGTAGACCCCAATAGAGACGTCTTGATATATATGTGGAGTTCTGAAATAGTTGTTGAGTATGAATATAAGAGAATAGCAGATTTCCCATTTTGATCGGGAGTCCTTGTTGACTACTTTATAATCTTAGCAAAGCCATCGCTTATTGTGAAAACCTCAGACCCATGACCTCGATCTTCCTTGGAATCTCAAAATTTCAGTTAGTTGATTTGGATACAGAAATCACCAAAAATATAAGTTTTTGTAGATGAATGATGTTTTTTAACTGTGTTAGATGCAACTTATTGATCTAGTGTTTTACGAAGATCCAGTTGCAGGGCTACTTCATCTCCCAAAGCCGCTGCAATATTATCTCAGCAGCATTTCATTGAAAAAAATGTTTGAGAAGATATAAAAAAGAGGTAGCAAAAAAATATTTGAAAATGTCTTATACTGCGTTGAATGATTTGAAAGTTTGAAGTTTTCCCATATCCATTCTTTATTTTTGAAAATATCTCTGACTTTTTCAATGAGATGACTTCTATTCGAATAAGAGAAATCTTCTTGACAAATATATCGCTACTGACCTCTTTAGGTTTCTTCAATTCATACTTCTCAAATGAATACCGGCAAAAAATATATATTAATCCTCTTCTCCCACGGGAAATCTCATCTGGAAAACGGAAATTATTCTTCCATTCATGTTTAACAAGTGGATTTTCCTTTCGAAAGAACATTTATAATGCGTAATTTATTATAATTTCTGTGGCTAAATCCCGTTCGAAAGTCGCTGGTGAAAAGCCACTTCTGCGAATCAACAATGCATTATTCATCCGAATCGCGCTTTTCTCATTAGCTCAACTTCTGCTGATTCGAGAATATATTCGTCGTAGAATTTTCCTCAAATCATCTTCAGGATGACTCGAGTGGTAATTCACTTGCGGCTTACAGAAAAACAAGTTTTCGTGAATCAGGTCCTTTGCATTTGAATGTATGAGTGAGAACATGTTATGTCAAACTCGCTATCGAAATTGAACTGAGAAAACCAGATATCTGAATGACTTGAAAACTCATTCGTATAAGTACAACAGAGAGCAATACTTTGAGGTAATAGTACGCCTAATGGTTTAATTCAAACATATTATAGATAAGGTATGATGCGCGGTCTGAAGGACAGGATGGCAAGACATGGAAATTCTGAAAAATAGATGATTGTAAAATGTTTATATTCATACAGGTTTCTAGACTAATTAGGAGAATTATTGATATTCTGAACTCAAGACGGATTACTGTGGAACGCCGTTATACTTTTTATTGTCACAAATATTCATTCCTCAATTTATTCACCTAAAAATTTATTTGTTTGAATTTAATTGATTCATGCATTTGTTGGACACATTAAAAACGATTGTTCGTAAAATCTGATCTATTTTGAATGACACAAAATTTTTATTTGAATAAAATATACTAATGAAATAACTTGAAGCTTTTATTGATTCCGATGAAAAATATCGTTTCAGAGTATTGATATTGATACACGGAAAATATAATTCTCAATAAGAACCGATTCATATACATTATACGAGGGGAACCAAAGTTAGTTTCTCTCATCTAGGTTTAATACACTATTTGGTGGAACACAGTTTTTGAATGACACTCAAAACAATTATGTATGCAAGCGTGGTTTTTTAGTTATAGATTCATCCATTTCGATATCATGATATTTCGCAAAATAATTAGTTTTCGAACGATGCATAGCATTTTCTCAAATTATTTTTTATGTACAACGATGACGCATCCAAATAATATCAGGCATGTCTAGGACTATCAAGATAGACGTGTGAGAAGTCGCGGAAGGCCACCTACAAAAAAAATCAACTTCGTCAGGGGCTAATAGAGAATAGTTATAACATGCCCCAGGAATATAAATATTCGAATTTTGATTAGTGAAATGCTTCGGAAAATGGAAGATATTGTGCAAGTAACATCCAATATTGAAAATTTGACTCACTAATTCTTTTTTTCAACCGTTTGCCAATTGGGTCATCGTTACATAATAAAGAATGGTAATGAAAATGATCATAAAGGCCTTCATTACCAAAAAAATGAATAAACATTCCATTAAGTGAATCAAATATTGGGCAAGATTCAATTTCTCAATTCGATAATAATAATAATAATAACTTCATTTGATCAATATACAAAATTCACAATGGAATTAATATTAATATAAGTTAATTGTCAAATAAAGAGGGAGAATCCCCATTGAAGGTAGAACCTTGTACATGGGCGTGAACAATACCACCCCATTCTAGAATTGCATATTGTAGGCGCGATTGTACCATAGCGTAATAAACTAATTTTAGCTGGGATATACATAGAATAGTTTTCAAGTATTTGAAATTATACAGTAGTGTCCTGAGTACGTTTGTCAGGGCGTTGGCATGGTTATTCCATTTCTAGTGTGAATCTATGATGACACCAAGATAGTTGATATGGTTAGTCATTTCATTACTATTAGTTCATTTTCGCTTATTAGAACTTTAATTTCATCATAACATGGAAGATTATTTTTGTAACAACAAAAGGGTATGAAGACAGTTTTATCGAAATC